TTTTTTTTTTTTTTTTTGTAAAATTAGGTGGTTCAAATCTGATAAATTCAAAATTTCCAAATATCAAGGGAGTCCTTTAGGTAACGCTCCAAGGGCTCCAATCACAATTGCAGATTTCTTTTTCCATAAGCGTTCAACTTTGATCTGCAAGTCCTGGTATTTTGTAATTTTTTCTGATTGCTTTTCCTCAATCCTAGCATTACCCAGTATAGCAACATATTATTTTAAGAGAGATATATTAAAAAAAATTCTTTAAAGTAGGTCTTGGGCAATGCTCTAGCCCAAAGGTGGTACACAGCATGTAAATGTTAGAATTTTATTCCAACCTGCTTCATATTTTTAGGTACCTCCAAAAGTATATTTTGTGAAGGGCAGAACCTTAAACAATGCATTTCTTTCCATAGGTACAATCTTGTCCTTAGGACTAGATTTAGGAAAAACCGTTCTGCATGTTTGGGACAATACTTAATAATTCAAGTCTTAACCAAGGACCTGAGAATGATTAAGGTAACATCTGAGAACATAGGTAGTTCCAAGCAGGGTATTTTTTTTTTTTTTTTTGTAAAATTAGGGGGTTCAAATTTGATAAATTCAAAATTTCCAAATATCAAGCTGCGCTGATGACCTGAGAATGATTAAGGTAACATCTGAGAACATAGGTAGTTCCAAGCAGGGTATTTTTTTTTTTTTTTTTGGTAAAATTAGGTTGTTCAAATCTGATAAATTCAAAATTTCCAAATATCAAGCTGCGCTGATTTAGCACGAGAGAGAGAACCCCCTTGCTCCTGCAGCAGTTTTTTCCTTCCCAATTCTTTAAATGATGGTTGGGGGACCTGTGGACTTCCAGATATTGGTCCTCAGCTACCCCCATCCCAGACCACTGGTCATGCTGCCTAAACCTGATGGCAATTGAAATTCACCACTGTCCACACGGCTACAGCCTTGCTCTGTAAGTGGGGGAGAGGCTCTTAAGATACATGCTAAGTTTTCCCTATTTCTGCATTATGGCTTGATGTGTATTATTGTGCAATCTGAACAAGCCATTTTCTGACAAAAAGCAGTTCTTATTGCATCTGTGCTGGAAGGTTGGAAGTTACATTGTTGTTCCTGGAAACCCCTACATAGCTCCAGATCATTAATTTGCTTTAATAGTCAACAAGAGAATGGAAGAGAACGCTTGTCTTTTCATGGATTACTGACTCTGCCAATTACCTCTGTCATGTTTTTACCAGTTTAGCTATATTTGCTTGTCTTTAACAGATACTCTTTGCATAGTTGAAGCTTATGGTTTAGCTGGCCCATGGGAGAAAAAAATTCCCAAGAGTCTAAGTAGTGCCCTAACATAATATTTGCTATGCAGTCTTAATTCTTAATGAGAGATGTTGGGTACCAGAGCTGATAGCATTATATTTCAGTAGAAAGGCAAGGATTTTTTTTTTTTTTTGGTGCCTTCAAGTCAGTGTTGATTCCTGGCAACTGCCTGGGCAAGTCCCTGCAGTTTTCTTGGGAAGATTTTCAGAAGTGGTTTCCCTTTGCTTCCTTCCTAGGGCTGAGAGAGAATGACTGGCCCAAGATCACCCAGCTGGCTTTACGCTTAAGGTGGGACTAGAACTCACTGTCTCCTGGTTTCCAGCTTGATGCCTTAACCACTACACCAGACTGGCTCTCAGAAAGGCAAGTTTTAATAGTTATATATATTAATTGCAGACTGGTTGTTAGTCTACAACCTCTCTCTTCATAGGGTTTCATCTTAGAAGAGATTCACATGGCTATTTGTGAAGCAGAGATGAATCAAAATTTGAGGGGAAAGTCATATATAGATCAGTTCTGTGGAAGCACAAACAATGAAAACAAATGCAATTTTCTACTTCTGTAACCTGTGATACAACTTCCATTGGTCATTTTTAAATTTTATCTTAATTTTTTAAAGATGGATTAACTAATTGCCCTGTGCAAAACCTCAAATGGGTATTTTGCTTTAGTTACACCTTTGACAAAGTGCTTCTTTGAATCTGTCCTGCCAAGTGAAGTGCCAACTTCACTTCTGGACACAGCTAATAAAGATGCCATTCTGTGTTGAACTGGACTCTTTGCTTTATGTTCAAAAGTCTTCTGCTCATGGGTACATCGAAGCCATTTCCATCAAAGTGAAGTGGCCTGGCAAAGAAAAGCTCTCTATGTCTGTGCATCAACTAGAAGTGTTGAGGCGGAGTGTCTCACTATTCTGTGCTGTTGTGTCACTTTGCTTCAGCAATTTAAGTTTAGGAGGCTCTTTGATGGGAAATAGTTTGCATACCTTGCCCTGTTGAATACTTTGTAGACCAGCTTTTGAATTGTGATATCTGTAGTATTTTAGAGCACGTTTGATTATTTATTCTAGGTTTTATTTTGCGTAAGAAATGAACATGCAGCATTTATACGACTGAAACTAACGTATGCTCTAAGCTTCTTTTTTCTGATGCAAATTGTCTGATCTCTGTATCAGCAGTGTTATAGATCTTTATTTTTTTCGCATTATCTCAGTTCTTGGAGACATCTAGCCTGCCTTGTGTGCACTTCAGCTCTAGCACAACCACAGTAAATTTCAGAGTCACCAAAACTTCCCATTTTTAGATTACCAAAAAATCATCTTTCAAGAGTTGTCTCTTTAGAATGAGAATATTTTAAAAGCTGCAGTAGCAGCACTGTTACCTTTGTTCTGAGCGTGAACAGAACTGTGAATCAAGACACTTTTTCTTTTGTATTCAAGGATTTTAATATTATTAAGCGAAAGTCACAGGCCAGCCCATGAAAGAAAGTTAATGATCATATACTGATTTGTAGGTCATGCCTATTGACAGAAGGAAGATCCCTTCAAAGGGCTATAGTGGTATGTTTAATAGAGTCAGAAAGTTCAGGATGGATGGCAGAATATTTATGAAAGTGCCCTATAGGCACATTTATTCACTTCAAGGTATAGCCTTGTGTTTTCAGTAGCACTTGCAGGATGGGAAATTGATAATAAGGACTGCATTGTGTCCTCTTTTCCCTTTAGGGTCCAAGCGCTCCCCACTGCTAGACCCGTACTTTTAATCAGTGCATCTTTTAAACACAGGCTTTAGAGAAGTGGCAATTGGTAATAGATCTGATGACTCACTGACACTGATGTGGAGTTGTGAAATATATTAATCCCTTTCCATGAATATAGAATAAATATCTTCTAAGCACAAAGTGTGCTAGATTACAAGCATGTCTTATGAGTTGCCAGGCTTCGAGCTACGCTGCTTGGTTGGGTTAGGCTGTGCCTCTGCAGAGGAACAGTGTGGTTTAAATACTCAGAATTTATCTTCCTCAATTGTTTAATATAATTCATTTGATAGCACAAATGTAGATGTGGAAGATAAGTAGAAAGAACTTTATATAGAAGCAAGCAGTAGGTTTTGCTTCAAAAATTTAGCAGTGGTAGTGGTGATTATTAACATCACATACTATTTTTCTTCCATAAGTTCAAAGCATCTCTTCTGTGTTCCTGTCCCTCCATCTGATCCTCACAGCAGTTGAGGAGAATCTGAGAGAATCTGAGAGGCGTTGAGTGGTTGAAAATTGCCTGATCTCCATCAGCATTTGAACCTGAGTCTCCCCAGTTTTAGACTAACTAAAGTGACAGATTGAAGATCAGAAGGCAAAGAGGCACCAAAGTGAGTAAGATGTCTAAGATATATAAAGGTACTTCTAATCACTGTTGGACATGTGAAAACCATGAAGGGACATTTTATCATGCATGGTGGACTTGTGAAAAAATGAAAAGATACTGGATAGAAATACATATAGTGATGCAGAAAGTTTTAAAAATTAACATTCGGATGAAACCAGAACTTTTCTTATTAGGACTTATGGACGCTCAGCTAGAAAAGGCTCATGGATGATTGTTTTTATAGATGGTAACTGCAGCAAGGGTACTATATGCACAAAGATGGAAGACTACAGAAACACCAATAAAATCTTTGTAAAATCTTCTTTTAATAAACATTATTTACAAAGTGAATAATTTTTTTGCTCACTTATAAATGTACTTGAGAACTGCCTAACACCCGATGATCAGGTCTGATGAACATCAGTTAAGTAAGACTGGGGAAGCTACAGTCTCTACCTACTCTCTGTTTGAGGACACCTTATGGTTGCTGGCCTAACTTCACCATTAAAATCCAAATTAAATAGTGCATAGTCTATCACAAGTAACCTGCATTAACACTGCATATTGAACTGTGACAGATGCCCTTATTGTATAGATCCTTTGTCTTCATCTTCTGGAATCTCTACTAGGGCTCTGGCTGCTTTGACTTTTGACTTCTAAACAGACTTACTGTATATTTTTCTCTAATATGTGTGGGTATAAGGAACCTTTTGGGAATTAGACATTGAATTGTATAATCACACTTGTGCTATTCCAGTCACTAATCCCAGTTGAAGACTGCAGTGTGAACAAAATCCTGTTAAGTTTACCCACATTTAGTGCAATTTCCTCATAAATATTAGTGAAAAGTTTGTAGGTTCTAAGAGTTTATTGTTTTTTTGGTGAGCAGTTATGAAGTGTTTTGCCTATAAAGTACTTTTGTATTGGCTTTCTTAATTGCCTTAATATTTGGGGTGTGGAGAGACAGAAATTAATTGCTGATTTGCAAAATGTCTGGAAACTGCTTTAACTGATAGACACTTAAAAGTCAAACTTCACTTTGTGCATATTAGGCTTTTTTAAAATATAATTTTATTGAATAATTTTTTAACAAAGTAAAAACCATAAAAGAAAATAAAGATAATAAAGAAAAATAGTAAATAGT